ATGCAATGGAGGAAGGATAGCATCTTCAACAAATGGTGCTGGGAAAATTGGAAATCCATATGCAACAAAATGAAACTGAATCCCTTTCTCTCACCATGCACAAAAGTTAACTCAAAGTGGATCAAGGACCTAGATATCAAATCAGAGACACTGCATCTGATAGAAGAAAAAGTTGGCTACGATATACATACTGTGGGGTCGGGCTCCAAATTCCTTAATAGGACGCCCGTAGCCCAAGAGTTAATAACAAGAATAAACAAATGGGACTTACTTAAACTAAAAAGTTTTTTTTTTTTCTCAGCAAGAGAAACAATAAGAGAGGTAAATAGAGAGCCTACATCCTGGGAACAAATTTTTACTCCTCACACTTCAGATAGAGCCCTAATATCCAGAATATACAAAGAACTCAAAAAATTAAACAATAAGATAACAAATAACCCAATCAACAAATGGGCCAAGGACCTGAACAGACACTTCACAGAGGAGGACATACAATCAATCAACAAGTACATGAAAAAATGCTCACCATCCCTAGCAGTCAGAGAAATGCAAATCAAAACCACCCTAAGATACCATCTCACTCCAATAAGATTGGCAGCCATTATGAAGTCAAACAACAATAAGTGTTGGTGAGGATGTGGGGAAAAGGGTACCCTTGTACACTGCTGGTGGGACTGCAAATTGGTTAGGCCAATTTGGAAAGCAGTATGGAGATTCCTGGGAAATATGGGAATGGATCCACCATTTGACCCAGCTATCGCCTTTCTCGGACTATTCCCTGAGGATTTTAAAAGAGCGTACTATGTTGAGAGCCACAGCCGAAGGGGCCCCAGCAAACTTCCAGCTGCCAGCAAACTTCCAGCTGCCGGCTGATGATTGGCTCACAGCTTCCGTGGAACATCTTCAGTCGGGTATCTAGGCATTTTGCGAAGCTTAACCACCCTGGTACCACCATTCTTGTCACCACCGAATGGTTTTGTAACAGTAGCCAGAACCTTCTCCTTTTTCTTCTTCTCAACCTTGGACTTAGCAGCAGTGTACTTCCTCTTATACATGGCCTTTCGGGAGTACATGGCAGATCGGGAGTATCTGCCAATTCCTCTAACCAGGACAGGGTTCCGGCTGCAGTGGGGTTTTCCTTTCTTGGGTTTCTTATCCGTAGAGTCTTCCTTTTTATCCTTGCCAACAGCATCAGCTTTCTTGGCTCCAGGTTTCTTCTCCTTAGTGTCTGGCTTCTCAGCCTTTTACCAATTTGTGAGGATAAATTCCATTTGTTAGAGCAAAAACGGATCACATGTAGCCCTGGAGCTGAGGGATAGCTTTGATTTTGGGTAGAATTTGTGTGTCCACAGCTTTCTGATCAACCTTGCGCTGCTCTGTGATCTCGTATTTCTCTTTCTCTGTGTCGAAGATTTCACCTTCCTGGTGTCTGGGCTTCCTCAACTTCTTCTTCTTGAAGTAAGCATCAGTGAGATGTTTTGGGATTTTCACGTTGCTGATATCAATCTTTGTGGAGGTGGCGATAACAAATTTCTGGTGTGTTCTACGCAGAGGAACTCGATTGAGGGAAAGAGGTCCTGTCACAAGTAGCAAGCCACTGCTCAGCTGCTTCAGGAAAACCACTCTCTTGCCTCTGTGGGGCCCGGTGAGGATGATCAGGATGGTCCCAGGAGTGATGCTGGCTCGAAGCTTTCTCACATGCTGACTGAAGGGTTTCTTGCCAAAATATTCCTGTAGGAATATTTTTTGTTGGTAGTACAATAAATAATAAAGGCAAACTTATATCAATTCTATCCAAATGCATATTTTCCATATATGTTTCAATGATTTTTAATGCCTTTCTTGCTTCAGGCGTTAACATTCGGGGTGAATTTGGATCTGATGGACCTTTTAGGATATCAAATAAAGGTCCCAACTCTCCTGTTGGTATACCTAAATAAGGCCTTATCCAATTTATGTCTCCTAATAACTTTTGAAAGTCATTAAGTGATTTGAGTTGATCTACTCGTATTTGAATTTTTGGTGGACAGACCATGGTTGAGGATAATAGAACTCCTAAATAATTAATTGGAAAATTTAATTGTACTTTATCTATTGCTATCTCTAGATTATAATTTTTTAATAAGTTTGTAAGTGTGGCATAACATTCTAGCAATGTGTTTTTATCTTTGTGTGCTAATAATACATCATCCATATAGTGAAATATTTGTAGTTCAGGATTTTGATTTCTAAGTGGCTGGATTACTTTGTTAACATAAATTTGACACATTGTGAGCTCACCTGTATGCATTGTGAACTATCTGTTGGTGCAGCGACTTGTGGTAGTGTTGGGGTATTTTTGCTGATGATGTCATTGGTGGTACAATTTTTCCAAAAGGAGCCGTCAATTGGCTTGGTGTATCTTCCTCCCTTCTGCTTGTCATGATCGTCCAGCTAAAATTTGGGGGCCAACAGAGGTGAGGCAAAGAACCTCACCCCCCCGCTGGTACAAAGACCTCTCCACAGGTGTGGCTGTATACTGGACCGGTAGTCAGTGACGGGTAAGATCCAATTGCAATGGTACCAACCTAAGGACCATATGTACTATTGGACAACCTAAGGCAGGCACGGTCCCTAAGCCACATGCTTGTTGTTTAAACAGAGAGGGGGAGATGTTGAGAGCCACAGCCGAAGGGGCCCCGGCAAACTTCCAGCTGCCGGCTGATGATTGGCTCACAGCGGCCCCAGCAACATCTAGCTGATTGGCTCCTCTGCGGTGATGCTCATTGGGCTGTTTCCCTGCCCTTTCAGACCACGGAGCTGCTCATTGGGGGACTTTTTTGGCTCCGCCCACGTGACCCAGCCAATCCGCCTCAAGAGCAGGAGGATTGTGGGAGGTGGAGAGAAGCTTGTGTGGGAGAGAGAGGCTTGTGGAAAGCCGGTGGTGGCAGTTGAGGCTCTGAGGGTTTTTCCTGAGAGGCTGTTTTGTTTGGCCTGTGTGGTTCTAAAAATAAAGTTAGTTTCTTTTGACAAGTGGCTCCTGATTGTGCCCAGCCAGACTGCGGCAGTACTATAGGGATACTGCCACATCAATGATCATAGCAGCACAATTCACAATAGCTAGACTGTGGAACCAACCCAGATGCCCTTCAATAGATGAATGGATTAAAAAAAATGTGGCATCTATACACAATGGATTATTACGCAGCACTAAAAAATGACAAAATCATAGAATTTGCAGGGAAATGGATGGCATTAGAACAGATTATGCTAAGTGAAGCTAGCCAATCCTTAAAAAACAAATGCCAAATGTCTTATTTGATATAAAGAGAGCAACTAAGAACATAACAGGGAGGAAGAGCATGAGGAAAAGGTTAACATTAAACCGAGACGAGTGGGGTGAGAGAAAGGGAGAGAGAAGGGGAAGCATATGGAAACGGTAGGAGACCCTCAATGTTACACAAAATTACATATAAGAGGTTGTGAGGGGAAAAGGGAGGAAACAAGGGAGAGAATTAATTAACAGCAGATGAGGTAGAGAGGGAAGATGAGGGGGAGGGGAGGGGGGATAGTAGGGGATAGGAAAGGCAGCAGAATACAACAGTCACTAATATGGCATTATGTAAAAATTGTGAATGTGTAACTGATGTGATTCTGCAATTTGTATTTGGGGTAAAAATGGGAGTTCATAACTCACTTGAGTCAAATATATGAAAGATGATATATCATGAGCTTTGTAATGTTTTGAACAACTAATAAAAAAAAGAAAAAAATATTAAAAAAATAAAATAAATTTTATTGTGACTTGTTAAAAAAATAAGAAATAAAAATAAAGATAGGCTATGACTATAGACATTATTAAAAATAAGATATGTGATGTGCAAATTTCTAACAGGTACATGAAATATGATCAACATAACTAAACATCAAGGGAATGTAAGTCAAAACCATAAAGATATAGCAGCCTACCCCAGTAAGAATAGTTAATACCAAAAAGACTATGAATAATACGTGATGGTGAGAATGCAGAAAAAAGGAAATTTTGGCACACTGTTTGTGGGAATGCAAATTACTGTACCCATTTTGGAGAAATTTTTTTTCTCAGAAAATTGAAGAAGGAATTAGCATAGAATCCAGCAATTCCACTATTGGGCATATATTCAAAAGAAATGACATAGATATGGGGGAGAAATCTGCATTTCCATATTTATTACATCACTACTAATAAAAGTCAAAAAATTTACACTATCTAATGCTTGTCTTGATGATGAATACAGAAAAAATGGTACTTTCATACAATGGAATACCATTCAGCCATAGAAAAATGAAATGCTGTTATTTGCTTTAACACAGATGGAACCAGATACCTTTATTTCAGGTAAAACAAGTCAGTCACAGAAAGACACTAAGTATTGCATCATACCTCATCTGTATAATCTAAAAAAGTTGATTTCATAGAAGTTGAGAGTAAGATGTTGGTTACCAGAGGCCAGGTAAAGTAGGGAGTAAGTAAACAGGGATGGGGAAAGTTTGACTAATAGTTATTAAGATATAGTTAGATAGGAGCAAGAAGCTCTTGGGATATTATTATGCAATATGGTAATTACAGATAACAATCATATTGTACTAAACATGTGAATGTTTATTGTGATATTGTCCATTTATTGTACTAAACATTTGAATGGTTTCTCCTCAAAGACATGAACAATGTCTGAGAAGATAAATATGTTATATATGATTTAAATTTTACACAATATGTACATGTATTAGTGATACACCATTAATATGTCCAACTTTAATTTTTGTGTATTCATTAAAAATTTTTTAAATTAAACATGAAGAAAAAAGTAATAATGTTGTTGACCAAACTCTTTTGCTATTTGGGTGGGAAGAACATGCACTTATGGATTTCCACATCTTAAAGTAGAAACGACAACAACAAATTTCTTGGAATATCTTTGCTTGGATATTCACTTAAACGTGTTTAAAGGAATGCCTCATAAGCAGAATGTTATTGGCTTTTTAATTTAGTTTATAGACATTGTGTTTTTAATCTTTCAATTTAAAACTTTCATATTTACTAGAAACACTGGTAATTTTGATTTTTTTTAATTCTCACTTTGCCAGGTAATTTTTTAAAAATTATTTTTCTCTTTTCTATCTTTGAGGAGATTAATCACATTTTGTCTGAATTTTTTTTCTCTAAAATAAATTTATTTTTCTGAATCATTGCAGCTAATATCCAATATCATTTCATAGTTTCAACTGTCCTCCTTCCATTTTCATATTTAAAAGTGATGACATTTTATTTCAAAATTGGTTATTAAAATACCATTTTGGCAATTACTATAGTAGTCTACTGATTTTATGACACCACCATTTTTTTTTTCGCAAACAACTCAATGTGTTTTAAATTAATTTAGATCATCATAATGTATTAATATGGAAACTACTATTGGTTTCTGCACTGACTTATTTTAAATTGGAACTTCCATGTATATTAAATTAAACATTATTTTCTTTTATGTATTTTAAACATTGCATCTTTGGTTTCTTTTATCAAACATGATTTATTTTCCCCTCTTTTCCTTTAATTGAATTGTGATAAATATAAGTTCAAATTTGTAATTAGACAGAATTATAAATTATGAATATTGTCTAATGAATACAATTTGAACTATTATTGGATGTCATATAACTTTCTCTTGGTTGAAAAATTATTTACCTGTAAAATACTTAAAATCTTACTACATATCTCGATAGAGATTAAAGATGGCGGCGAGGGGAGTGCATTGCCCCCGTGTGCTGCTTCACTGTGTGGGAGTATGACAAGTCAGGACGGCTAAAGGATATCTTGTTAGGAATTTCCAGCAATAGTGGGGTGCTCCGGAACCTGGAGGAAGGATTTCCATCGCACGAGGATCAGCTACGGGGACTCAAACGCGAGAGGTTTGTCGCACT